ACAAACTTGGTTCAAAGGGAAAACTAAGTTATGAAAATTCAGTTGAGCACTTAGAATATATGAATGTCCAAAGCTATTCCCTAGAGCACTCCATGTGCAAGATTACCTGTTGATTGTGGTGAGGGTAAGTCATGTGGACTTTTAATGAATCCCTAACCTTAAAAAGGTGGAGTAAGACAGGATACTCTTGATAGGGAGGTCACCTATATAAGTGTGAAGTGTGGGCCGCTTCAAATGTAAACACTTATGAATCCATTGTGTTGTCAATGGCCAAAACAGACACAACGATAGAACGGAACGGAGTTAAGACTCTATTGTGTGAATGTCATTGTCTCGGTGTACATTATGGAGGAATAGTTCAAGGCATTAAGTCCACTAGTCCGCCAGTGCATCCGATGATGTTTACTAAGAAAGGTTCAAAGCCAAAATCTACCTTATCTGATGCAATAGAGTTTTGTGAGGATTGAGCATATAGTATATTATATTTAATTTACACTCATGTGGGGGATTGTTACAACTGTGAGTGTATTAAATATTGAAAGCAGATGGAATATTAGTTGGGTGCAAGTGGCTAAACAATTGAATAATGAGGTGGTTTGGTGCATGTGGCCAACCAATTAATTAATGAGTTGTTTGGGTGTTAACTCATTTATGAGTTTAATTGGACCGGTGTTAACTTATATTACACCTATAAATAGAGGGAGCTGGAGGAAGAGAAAAACACACCAATATCTGAAAGAAAGAGAGAAGAAAGAAAGACAAAGGAAAGAAAGAAAAATATATGTCCAAATATCGGATATAAAAATATCTAAAAAGAAAAAAACAAATAATATTTTTATTTGTTTTATGATATATCTTTTTAGGGTAAATTGTACCAAACCCCCCTGTAATATATTAAATCTGCGCGTTTTCCCCTCGTAATTTAAAAATTGCGTCAAACCCCCTCCTATTATATATATGCCTGCACACTCTCCCTTTGATGTTAACACCGTCACTTTACTACTGACGGTGTTACTTTTTTTCGTCAAATTTACCATTATACCCTTACTTTATTTACCATTATGCCA